GCCACGTCGGTCGCGGGGCTGCCCGTGCGGTGAACGCTGCCCCGTCCCCCGCACCCAGTGAGGGGGGGGAGAGGCCCCCGGGGTGAAGGGTTGGCGAGCGCGGGATGAGACGCTGCCCCGGGAGGCCTGCGCAAAAAGGAGCCGACCTTGAGGGTGACAGCTTTTCTGCCCGTCGCTCGCTTGATGCCGCTGCCGTAACAGCGCTCTTTGCGCCCTTGAGCTTCCGTAACGGCCACGAAAAAAAAAAAAAAAAAAAAACCACAAAGGCTGAGAGAGAAACCAAGAACGTACTGCGGCGGGGTGCGATTATAAAATAAGTTTTCCTAGAGCAGCTGTGGGTGCTTTGCGCGACGTATTTGTAGCACGCGCAAATTTGCACGTAACTAAACACAAATTTAGCAGCCTCCGGGTTGTCTGGGTGGGCTCAAAGTGACAGTCGCTTCTAAGCAATGGGATGCGCGGCTTAAAATTGTTAAAAATCCTCTGTTTCTGGCTGTGGTGGCCCGTCCGATATTGCACAGCCTGGCGTCGATCTAGGACCAAGTGTTTGGAGCTGGCTGTGAAGGGAACACGCTTTAATGTTTGACAAACAAGCAGCTGTGCTTGTTTGAAGCCGGTCAGCAATTTGGAAAGCTAAAGCAGTCGCAGAATCAGGATTCACGAGCGCAGGTGCACTGCTCAAAGGTGAATGACGGATTAAACTTATTACAGGGATATAAAAAGGTTACTTAGGTGGTAGGACTGGTCAAAGCGAAAACTAACACCTTCTGGAAAAAAAAATCTTCCAGGCTTCTTTTCTGATTTGAATCTCAAACTATTTCAAACATCTGAAACAAAATGCAGGGCAGTTAGCATGAAGTTTATTCAGGAAAATAAATTTACTGAAAAATCATGAACTTTTTCCCCTAATTTATTTTTTCAATCTTGAAATTTCATCAATATTTACATTTTGGAAATAAAATTCAAGTAGTTCTACACATGCAGCAAAAAGGGGGTGTGGGTACATTTTTATTGCATTACTATATATGTATTCTATTTTCCTGGACTACTTTTGCCCCTTTTGTTAACCTAAGCCTCATGTGCTGAGTAAAATAGGAAAATACTTTTATCAGATAGAATCGTCGACACATTCGTGCTGATGGGTTCTTTGCCATTTCAGCTTCTTAGTCGCTAATTTCCTGACGTAGCAAGTGTGTCCTGTGCTTTAAACCTGGCATGCTGGTGATCCTTTAGACACTGCTGAAGGAAGACCCAGCTGAAACAACAGAGTACGTGTTCAAGCAAGGGCTGCTCGCGTGAGTAAGGGTTTGAGTCATCCAAGCCCAAAAGGACTGGTAAGGAGGAGGAAGCTGCTTCATCAAATGCCTGGTAGCAGGAGATGTAAATACACAACCCAGACGAACAGGCTGATTTTGTGGATCATATGCACAGCAGTCGTGCTAAATTGGGTGGTGTTATTTGGAAAGCGCAACAGAAGAGAGAAGACACAATACGGAGAGCTCTGAAACACAGATGCTCCGGAGCAGGATGCTGGGGTGGGCATATGAAATCACAGAGGTGCAAAGAGTGTTTGTTCTCCATCTGAACCCAAAGTGGAGTATCTCAGCGTAAAAAAAAAAAAGAGCTTTTTTAGGTGTGGCAGCAGCCTGTGTGACGCGTGAGCCGGTGACACAGCCACCACTGAGCCAGGGCAGCTACTTCTGGGCAGCAGGTTCCCTCGCACCATCCTTGCTTCCCGTGCCAGAGGCAGGAAGGCACAATTCAGGCTATCCTCTCCTCTGCAACGAGTTTTGTCTGCTGAGCAGCAGACACGGGCGCCCTACAGGGAGCAGCTCACACCCTGGCTCCAGGGCTGCTCGCCAAGGCGGGGGGGGGGGGGTCTGCCAGCCCACTGAGGCCATGAGCCTGGGCGAGCTGTGAATCCCCCCCTCCAGGGCACGTCGGATGCTCATATCTTGTACCACGCTTCATCTCAATTAACGTATGATGAAACGGAGCCTTGAGCCTCAAACATGCCGAGGGGTAACTTGATACAAACGTGCAGCTGCGCTGATCCCCTGAAAGAGGGCGAGTTGCGCATTTTGCAATTAGGGTGAGCTAATTGTATGTGCACGGGCGGTTGCCACAGCTCAGCTGATGGGTGGTAACTTATTAAACCGCAGTAACGTGAGCGCTTTGAGTCATGAAACCGTACCCAAAGTGGTCGCAGACTCAGGGCCTGAGAACCCACTGCCCTCCCGTTCTGCTGCACCATCATCTCGAGGACAAGGAGAGGAATTGAAAACCTGTGCTGTATGGTCCGATGCAAGATGAAGTTTCCCAAGGGATTCTTAAATTTCTAGCCAGAATTTCAAAGAATTTAACAATGTTTTCTTTTTAAATGACCTTGAATCAAAATATTCGTTTTAAGTGGGAATGTTTGGGGAAGAAAGAGTTCTGGAAATTTTCAGCATAAACACTAATTCTTGTAAAAAAACATGAGGGGTCATATTCAGAAGGCCTAAATTTCCCCTAAGTCTCTGAGTCTTGTGTTTGTTACCTGCTAGGGATGTCTGCAGGCCTAGAGCCATCCAGAAGGGAACCTGTCCAATTTGGTGGAACTGTGGCCAGAGTATTTTTTTTTTTTTTTTTTTTTAGAGGTAATGTATTTTTAATCTGTAGCACTTGCTAGTTTCTTAGAAGGTTGAAGAGAAAATTACCTGACAAATGCTTTCCTTCCTCTGTACTTGGTTATTAATTTTGTGCGCACACGCATGTGACTGGGCAAGGAGAGTTGAAATCAGCCTGTTCTTGTGTTTGTGGTTTTTTCAGAGCCTCCTCGATGCCAGCCCTGTTAGCAGCGCTGATGATGTGAGCTTTGACCTGGAGAGCATAGCTCAGATTCTAGCCCTGGTGATGTTGCTATTGATCTTCAGGGTTTCAGCAAGCGAGGGGTATAGGGAGTCCTTGGGGAAGCTTTTCTTTTCAATTACTTTTAAACGAAGCTGGACATAAACCCATTTGTGCTCAGAGCTAATGCCATGCTGAAGGAACTGGAACACAGCCCCTGTAACAGGGTGCTTGAGCGTGAGAGCAGATGAAGTGAACTAACAGAAGCAACTGTAGGAAGCCAGGGAGTAACCTGCCTAAATGGTGAGAAAAAAAAAGAAACAGCCCCTCGCTGTCAGGGTCTGGGCTCTGGCAGGTGGCTGTCACACCAAAGAGGGGGCGGCGATGGCACCGCTTTGTGCTCTGCAAAGCGGAGGGACCTCAGGGCTCCAGCTGCCTTCACCCGCGTTTCCTCCCCCAGCCTCTCTGCTGCCCACCTATCTGTCCTCCGAGGGGGTAACAGCAGAAAAACAGCCCTAAAAAACTCATTTCACAGGACTTCTTCAGGCCTTTGTCCGTTAGCTATGTCAGTAGCAGCAGATACACACTCACTAAAAACTGTGTAGGGTTGCAGATAATACCCTTGTGTGCATCCCCTCTTTGTTTGCTGCCTGCCAATGTGTTCAGCGTTGCCCTGGAGATCACAACATTTTGGCAAACATCACCGTTTTGCTCCCAACAGAGCCCTTTTCCCTCTTCCCTTGAGGAAGGGAGTCACACTTACAAGGGAAAAAAAAAAAAAAGAAAAAAAAAAAAAGAGATATCTGGTTCTGGCCCGAGTTTCATGTTTTTTCTTCCCATTTCTAAATGAATTCTAAGCTGAGACATCCCATGCAAAATTTCAACCCAGGGCAGTTGTCTGCATTCACACTAAGAACCAGTGAATAAGTGTTTTGAGGTAGCCTTAATTATAGATGTGAGAATGACACCAGTGTAACATTTAAAGTGTGAACATAAAATATGGCAAATCAATCAGAGTATGGAACCAGACTCGGAAAGTATTCAGCTGATGATGTTCACGATCACACATTTAAAAAAAAAAAAAAAAGAAAAAAAAAATCACATGTGGAAATTCACTCCTCCAGCCAATGGAAAGAGATACTTTTCTATCTCATAGTCTACAAAATTCCCTCACCTACTACCCAAATCACAGTTAAAAGGAGCTTAATTTATCCCTTTGAAAAAAAAAAAAAAAAAGTTTTACAAGCCGTTATTCCTGCTCAGCAATCACACAGACATTAAATCTTATTGCAAAAAGAGGGGGGGGAATGCCTCTTCTCAGCATTACAGCTGCAGCTGTTTGACAGAAGTAAGTGACTTCATAAACCCTCCTGATTTGGCAGTAGGAGAGCAGAGTTTTATGCTGTCTGCTGCACAGTCAGAGGGGCTGAGAAAGCTCTGCAAAGCAATCTTCACAAATGTTTCACCTCAGTTTATAAATACCTTTGCTTCACCGTGTTAATGCCTCTTTTGCTTTGCTTTCCATTCACCTCCACTGGAGCTTCTACCAAGATATTTTATTGCTTTAAAGTGATTGATCCCACTGGTCCCACATATTTTTCTCCTTTTGTGTTTCTTTTCTCAACGGAAGATACCGCACCTTCCACCTTTCCATTGCTTTGTTGGCTTATTATGATAAAATGCAGAAAAGATTTAGCAGGCTGTCTTTATTTGCAGCATAATCAGGCTGTACACCTTATCATGAAAAAGTCCATTCTTAAGCACTGCGCTTTGTTTCTCTCAAGTGTCCATGAAGAATTACTTGAAAACACATTCTCCTGAGCTGTGCTGAAAACGGAGAGATTTCTGATGGTTGTCTTCTCAACCTCCACCTTTCTGTATTAATTTTGAGACCTTATTATGTAAGAATGAATTCCTGTTCCTCCAGAGCAACTTCTGGAGATGTTCCCAGCTCCCGTTAACATGACTTCGCTATGAGTTTGATGTGAGAAGGCTATTTAGTACTTTGAAGGAGCACCATCTCCATCGGGACGTCTTCACCGATGCAAAGTCAGCAGGAACTCTTGCTTCAGTAAAATCTCCAGGATCCACCTTTCAAGTTATCTGTTCGTTTTATAGGACCATTACAGCTCATAGGCCTTGCTCGTTCCTTGGACGTGCAGCCTGCTGTTTCACATTGCCAGGAGATTTTGCAGGATTTGTCTCAGAGCAGATTGGACCGGGATGTAAGAATCTGAAGGGAAAATTGTCAGTGAACAGATGAGTTTCTCAACGATGGTCTTCAAACACTGGTGGGCTTCCTGTAAGTCCCTCTCAAATTGTTGTCCCTCTCTTTGTAAAGCCATATGAATACAGATGTTTCTAAACTCAATGCTATCCTGAAAGCGAAAGCAAAAAGAAGTGAGTAAAGAGTGATACTCCTCAAGTTTTCTAAGCATGATTTTCTAAGCGAGTAAAGAGTGATGCTCCTCAAGTTCTCTAAGCATGATTTTCTAAGCAGAAACTTCCTAATCATGATAAAGTTCATCTCTGATTTAGTGTGAAACATCTTCAGTTTTGAGATACATATAGAGTAACCATTAAATACTGCTGCAAGATGTCTCAGCAGGAAGCCTTGGGTAGCAGTTTCACCTACTCACTTTTAAGGGGCACCTTCTTCCCCGGGCATCACCAATTTTTTTTTTTTTTTTTTTTAATTCTCTTTCTACCAGACAGACCTTTTGTAGCTGTGCTCAAGCAATTCAACTCCCCCTACCCTGGCAGGCAAGGGTAGGACCTCAGGGAAATGTTACAACCGGACGTCTCTGGAAAGTTCCCAATGGCTTCCAAGGGAACTTTGTGACAGCACCCCTCACTGAAGCATCACTTCCAGGCAGTGTCCCTCGTTCTGTGATGTGACTGGGATCACCAGTGAGGCAGGTGACCTCGACAGCTCTGCCAGTTGCACTTTGTAATAAATTATGAAGACTTCCCGGTCCCTCAGATGTGGCATGGTCTGCGGCGTGACAAGTGCTGCTCTAACCCCTGCCCGTGCTAGGGAAATGCTCTGCATGGGGCAAAGGCACGCCTTAATCCAGTCAAACCAACACTGGACGTTGCAGCTCATGGAAACCCTTGCCTGCTGCATTTAGAAAAAGGCTAAGTGAAGTCAGTTTTATGCTAAGGAGCTGTAGTGCTGCTGGCTGTAGCGCCTTTCCTATGGCAGGGACAACCCTCTGCCTGCCCAGGAGCAGGGCCGGTATAGCTCTGTGAGCACTGGAAGGGGGTGCACATCTATTATGCACCTTTGCAGAGCTACTAAAAGAAAACATTCCCCTCTACCCCCATCTGCTCTTACCCCACCCTAAAGGAGGTAGGAGCAGATGGTAGAAGCAAAGTTTTAACTTGCAGTGGTTCCCCAGCCTGTTTTGCTCTAGGAAAGGGCTGTGTCAGCACAAAGGGAGGAGAATCTCAGCGCTGGGAATGAGCATTTGGAGGTGAAGAGGACAAGATGACTTCTTCCAGCAGCAGGATCGGCCTCTGTCATCCTAAAATTTACGTGCAAATGTGGTCTCAGTCACAGGCTATGCCTTCGCAAGGTCTCACGTGCAATGAACGCTCCAGGACAAGCTGTAGGGCACAGGGGAACCTTCTCCTGTAGCATGTGGTACACGCCACATTTTGGCACCTCTTACCTCCTTCCCTTGATGTATTTACTCTTTTAGTTAGTAGCAGCCTGTGCTTTTAGCGGAGAGGAAATTGAGTTCTAATGTTATTCTTAAAAGCATGAGGGCTCAGACTTATTGTGGGCTTTACCTTTGTTATTAAAAACAACAAAGAAACCAGTTTTAAAAACTCCGCTTCACCTAGACAATCCCGGCTTCATAATGGCAATAGCAAAAAGGATTTGCAGCTGAAGGATTAAAAAGCAGGTTAAGATCAAAACCAGTGCTGAATGACTGCCTCGGCCAGCAAATAGAAGGCATTCATTATGGAAATACCGAAAGGAGCCATCCAACACCATTCTTGGGCCCTTAGGTATTGCCCGATAGTGGTTGTGGGTCTGCTGTGGGCAAGGTGAACTCACTGCTCTGGTACGTCCCTGTGCCGAAAAGCTGGGGAGTCCTGAGCCAGGAGGTTAGCTGAAAAGCAGTCTTTTCACATATATTTCCAAAGTTTCCTTTTTCAGAAATATTTTGATGTTTCCTTTGAAGGTCACCTTTCAAATCTGTTCTGTAAAGTTGCCTTAGGTATAAAATCCTTACTCAAATATATTAAAAGGTCAAATAAATTGCGCTAAGTAAACAAGCTAGCTTTGCTAGCTTTTGCAGGTGTCCAGCACATGGGAGCTTTAGGATACATGACAGAGAATAAAAACTTGACTTATCTCTCTCTTTTCAGCAAAAGCGGGCAGTAACTAACTGAAGGGAAAAAAAAAAAAAAAAAACAAAAAACAAAAAACAAAACAACTTTCAGACTGAAAATTCTTTCTGTTTTAACTTCAGGAAATAGGGCCCTTGTGAGTTGAACTGATAGAGGGCAACAGCTCCTGCAGTACTTTGCCATTTAAGAGAAGGTAATAGGAATATTTGCAGTGATTTGATTTTAAGTGTTCTCAATTGCAGGACAGGGGCAGATCCTCCCTGCAGCTTTCATTTGTCAAGATCCATATGTTTAGACAGATGAGTTCATAAAGAACGTCTCCCAGAATAAAAACAGCATAGCCTACTGGATTCAAGGCTCCCTAATTTATGGCCTAAAATTTTCCACTGCTCCGGGTCTGTTTCATGCAGTTGTCACTCAGTGGTAGGCTGAAGTTTCAGGATGTTTCTGATGGCCCAGCTTTTATTTTTGAACTGTAACATAAAATTGATACTATCCACCAAAGTTGCTTTGCATTTATGAAGAGGCCACTTTTATAAAAGCTTCCTTAGAGAAGATACAAACTGCTTTCTTCCATCTTTTATTTTACTTAGAGATGCCAACCTGACCCATCAAACAGACTCCTCCAGCTGGCTCTTACAGACAGCTGCCTTTTTCTTCAGCACACTCAAATTTTAGGCCCCGGCCCACTGCCAACCCTCCACATTTTTTCTTAATCTTCATGTGCCCTGGTAGACAAAATTTCCACTGAAGGCAGAGTGGCAGCGGTGGTGCTGTGGTCCAGGTGCTGGATGCTAGCCATGATCAGCAGGCCAAAAGCTGGGAGTCGGGGCTGGAGTGCCAGAGCTCCTGATGGCCATTCCTTGTAACTCAGCGCCTCCACCCCCACTGACCTATTTTATATTTTTCCAGTATAAATTCTCAGGGTAGCTCAACTTCTGGAGGAATAAAATGGTCATTTTAGAAGGTGATTCCTGTGGCATTCCTTGGGCGTGTGAAAGCGTAAGCCAGAGCTTTTTCCCAGAGGCTCTGCGTGTGGTCAGTGGGGAGCGATAGGAACTGTTTATCTGACACATCTCAGAAGGCTGTTATGGGATGAACTGAATCTGGAGTGCCTCTTTCCCTCCAACATCTCTAAAGAAACACAGCTTGAGCAGCTCAGTCTTGGGGAAGCCTCTGTGGGACAGATAAGCCCCAGCTCAAGTCTGTGTTCATCTCTCCACCTGCTATTTTAGAAAACAGTTGCATTTGGAAGACAACTCCTAAGACACATAGCACTGAGAATGGTGGAGCTGTTAATAATTTCTTGTAATGTTCCTATTCCTGTGGGGAGGGGGAAAAAAATCCCCCCAAGACCCCAGAGTAGTTCATTCTGCAGTTTGCTGCTGCAAAGCCTCTTTCTAACACAGCAGGTGCGGGTGCATGCAGAGTGTAGTGCTATCATAGTAATAAAATGCAACCACCTAAACATATTTCCTCTGAGCTTCCAGAAAGATCTCGGAGGCGATTCCTCACTCGAAGAACCTCAAGTTGTCCATTTGTCAGTATTCAAAAAAAAAAAAAAAAAAAAAAAATCCACACAAACGAGTATTGATGTCTACAGCTTGCAAATAACTTTATGGAGGGTGAGGCAATTTTTTCCAGGATCATTCTTCAGATTAATTACTTTTAAAAATGAACATTCAAAGCTATTAGGTCCAGGAACAACTTCATAATATCAGTGGCTGCAAAATGAAAAACGTGCATGCTGGCACATTTGTTCAATCCGTGGTGGCAAGCAGGGACTCTGCTGCTGTTTTATGCGGATTCTAATGAAAGCAATTTATCTCGTTTCTGTCACCCCTAAGCCATTACTTATGAATCAGTCTTCAGATCTCTTGCACGAGGAAGAACGAGTCGCTTTGGTACTGAGAACCAATCTCTGACTTGTGCCAGGAAACCAGCAACCAGAAAACAAGCTTATTAACTACCATTAGAGATGTCATCTAGCAACAGCCACCCATTCCATATTCCTTCCCCAAAACGTGCAAATCCCCTGGGTTTACGATGTGCTGAGCATCCAGCAGCGCTGCCTGGCTGCACCAGCCTTTGCTGCCCTTCTCCTGAGGAGCAGGAGGTTTCCAGGTCTTTGGTTCACCTGTGGCCAAAGTCAGCAACGCCCAATGCTGTGCTGCTGTTTGGCCTGCAGTAAATCTGTGGGTTCTGTTCCGTTCCCCGGGGATGGGTCTCAATATAGCCGGAAAACCAAGCCTGTGGCTGGCACCACCCCGAGGCAACGCACCATCCCTCTGCCTGCCTGCAGGAAGCCTGGCAGGGCTGCTTCCACCCCTTCGCTCGCGTCCCAGCGATGTGGCTCGCTCTCGGGGCAAGTTAAGTGCCACTGGACTGGTCTCACAGCGACGGCACCGTTTCACCCCAACGGGAGACCCAGGGCAAGGGGGCTTCAGGTGGGTGTGCAGCTGATGCTGCTTCTTTCAGCTGGGAGCGCCGAGCTGGCCTCCCCGACCTTCTTCATCCACACCGAGCAGAGCAGCGGCACCGTAGCCCAGGGGCAGGAGAAACTTGCACAGTCAGAAGTTTTTTTTATTATCCCACCCTGCCAGTCTGGCACCTTTTTAAGGACACTATTTTCTTTTCCCCCTTAAAGAAAATACCATGACTGTTTTGCAAATGGGATGGCTATTTTAACTTCTTAGCGTGATTTATATTCCATTCCCCGCTGGCTGCTGTCAAGATTGGCCCAGTCCAATCCACTACACATTTCTGATTTAGTACCGTCCTCGCGACCCCTCGGTAACTTCAGCGCGGGAGACAGGATGTTATCAAAAAGCTGGAGTAAAGCAGAGCTGCACCTGAGCACAGCCAGGGCAAGCCGCACACTGCTATTTTGGGAAGCTTTTATACCTTGTATTTTTCCTTTTCAAATGCACTCACATTGCTACTTAAAATACGGAATCTCTGTTTTAAAAAAAAAAAAAAAAAAAAAAAAAAAAAGGAGGCTGTTCTGTTCACCTTGGCAGCGTGTAATTATGGGAGAGAGAAAACACGGACATTATTCCAGGGCATCTTTGTGGAGGCAGAAGGCGCAAGGAGTTTGCTCGCGGGTGCGATGCCGGTAAACGTCTGGTTGGGCAGCGGGGCGACGTGCTCGCCTGGGCCCCGGGATGGGGGAAAGAGGCCCCTTGTCCTTTCCCATCCTCACGCAGAGCCCTTGGCGATTCAATCTCTTTGCCGTCCAGATCTGTAACAATGCGTTTAGTGTTGCTAACAAAGGATTTGCCCCAATTTCTTGCAAGGGTGTGGCTTTGCATCGGACGTTAGCACCCTCCTTTTAATTGCTGAGGACAGGCACTGGCCAGTGGGCACTGAGGCACAGCAGAAAGCGTTGTTCCCAGTACCTGCAGGGGATGGGCTGCTTCAGTGTTGTCCTTCCCATTCCTTGAATCCATTTTTTCTGCAAGCCTACGTCTGGCTGTTTTGGGATCGTTTTATGGTGCGATTTTTTGCACCAGTTCATCTGATAAACCAATACCATAAACCAGTAAAAGGAAAACAAGGAACAACCCCAAAACAAATGGAAAACAGGAAAGTCAGGATTGCCAAGAAGGAACTGAAAGAGACATAACCGGAACAATAAATGAGTAGTATCAAATACTGACTACTAGCATGAATGAGTGTCTCTGAGACGTAAACCCAGAGCTTCCCTTCAAAAACAGGACATGCTACCACGGGCTGCCATTTTGAAGGGACTTTGGCCAACTCATTGTCTTAAAGCTTATTTTTAAGGGCTTGTTCATCTGAATTTATGAACGGGTTATAATATAAATGGATCCCTTGGAATCCAATTTACTTCAAAATCAAGCCTGCAGCAGCGAAACTACTCGCAATTAAAGGGGTTGGTTACCCCTGATGCAGGTTCTGAGGCAACCTAGTGCAGAATTTATGTAACCTCATTGTAGAAGGGAAGGAGGGGGAAAGTCCCAGAGCTCAGCAGGTCATGATAATGGGTTTTCAGTGAAAAAAAAAAAGGGCCTAACTCAGCTTCAAGTAGAATAGGAAAATCAGAATCCAAAGTAAACTGTATTCCCAGTGGTATCTAAACACATGCTTTCATACAGGCAGATATTAAAGTAGTTCTGGGAAAGAAGAGGAAGAAAATAAAACCTTCATTGAGGTGGCTGTATTTCATCAAGCTAGCATTGGTTTGTACAAAACCCAAATGTCATTAGCCTTGTTTATTTTAAATTACGAGCAATGAAGAAGTCTGACTGGAAAACTGGTATTGCAGAAGTCCAGCCTATCACTGTGCTCTCGTTTCTGAAGAGTAATGTCTAACAATTTCATCTGATCTTTAAAACACTTTTTACATCATGCATAGCTTCCAATATTGCCCTTTCCATTTCTAGGTGCATTTATTCCTGCTGGACTCTTAGATGAGTATTTCTGGAGACTGAAAATACATGGACCCAAATGTTCAAAGGTTGCTTCTGGTTCTTGGTGACTGAGTTTATGAGTGAATTGTATCTTGACTTGAGATAGCTTGGATTTGATTTTTAACAAATTGTGAACAATCACAAAGCCAGCTGGAATCAGTACATTGATCTAGTACATGTGAAAAGAGTATCTTGCAATATCTCAAATTCATCACCAAGATACTGAGAAAACAGAAGTCACAGCAAAATTTTGTTCACAAATATTTATCCACCAGATGAGACTCTAAGTGGTTACATCTTCTCTGCTTCAGTATCACAGCTTGCCACATTGTGCTGGTCGGTGCTAGAAAGGTTGGCATAAAAGTAGCAGAGCAGATTCTAGTTTTAGCTCAGCTGGCCCAGCAATTGGTATCTACTACTAGTGGATTTCTGTGGCGTGCACCTTTGGTACTAAAAATTGAATAAGAACCGCCACTTTTACTACATGGTGCACCCAAGACTCATCATAAAGAGGTTTTTGGACAATGCGAAAGTAAACTGACTTGGAACAAGGCATAGGAGACATAATGGGCTCCAACACCTAAACCCATAAATTGCAAGTCCATGCCTGAGCTTTTTCTCAGACTTCTTCATGGGGTAATATGCATAACCATTGTATTTGCTGGAAAAATTGAGGTTTTTTTCCGGTATTAATTCATTGGGTCTCATATGCTGGATATATAGTGTGTCAGTGTGGAACGGCCGTGGGCTCTGTGGGTCGGTCACGTTTCACTAGCCAGGTTACCAGTCATCTCTGCATCTTGTGTTGGGTTTTGGCTCTTTTAGAACTGGAGAATAGCTTTATAGTTTAAGACTTCATGTGCATTTATAGAAATTTAGACCTATAAAACTGGCTTCTGAAAAAAACTCTTAAGTAATCTTTCCAGGCTACTCAGCATGTCAGTAAGCCTTCACTCTGCCAAAAAGTGTTTTTATCCCCTGAACCCCTGTGATGCAACTGCACTGAACTGTCAGTAGCTTTCTGTTTTGCAGGCTCTAGGCTTAAATTACTTAACCGAAAATTAATGTAAGTTAAACTCTTCCAGTCCACATGGCAAGACCCAGAGCCTGCACTTACGGGTGCAGTGCGCTCCCCTTCTGCCAAAAGCCTGGGGTTTCTGTCTCTCACTTACTTTTGGGTGGAGAGGAAGAGGATGCTCCTGTAGCAGAGGGAGCAGGAGAGTCTGTTCTACTTGTACAAGCTGGGAAGTTGCTGCTATTAGCCGGGACATCTTGCTGCGCAGAGCCATCTCTCGAAGCGTCTCACGCCGGGCCGGCCTCTCGGGCCTGGGCTCACCTGGGCTCCCAGGAGATGGGTCTTCGCTCTCTTCTCCCTCCTTAGGGCTCTTCCCTGGGGCTTTTGGCTCTTCCTCCAGTTCCGGAGCCCCGGACACCTCCGTCTCCTCTCCCGGGCCGTGCCCGGCTGGGCCAGGCCTGCCGGCGCCGGAGGTTCGGGTGTGAGGCGGCTGCGAGGGGGGCCTGCAGGGAGGACGGGGGGCCGCGGCGGCCCGGAGGGCCCCTGCCTGGTGCCCGATGGACGCAAGCAGAGCGGTCGGACGAGCCATCGGCCTTCCCACCTCCCTTCCCGCCCCAGACCCCGGGTGCGGCTTTTTAAACCCGGTTTGGCCCCTTCTCTCCCCTCTTACCTTTGGCTCCGAGGTGGGTGGCCACCAGCCCTCCTCCTCCCCGGCCCGGGCCTGGCTGCAGCAGGTCGAGACCCACGGGCCCCCGGGAGGGTCGGGCCGTGGGCGCAGAGCTCAGGGCCGCCCAGCTTTTTGCGTGAGGTGTAAAACCTCCCGTGGTCCCGGGTGGGAGTGGGCTTGCCAAGGCTGGCCCCTTCGAGGAGGGTGGGGGGTACGTGCGGAGTCAGCCCTCCCGAGGCCGCGTTACAACGCTCGGGCGCCGAAGGATTTTTTTTTTTGTTTTTTTACGACGTATTTCGGCGTGCGATTTAAAAGGAGAGCAAGGGCCGGGGGCGAAACCTTTCATTCCAAACCCCTCCCGGTTTGGGGGGGGGTGTTTGGTGCGGATCTGGTTGATGGCCCCGCAGCCTGTGCCAGCTGCCTCCCGGTGACACCCACACCGAGAGGCAGAGACCCCTGGAAACGCCCAGCCGGGTCTGGCCATCAGTGTTTCCACCGAAAAGCTACAGCTGCCGAGAAGTCAAAACTTCTCGGCCTGCCCTCGGTTTTAGTACTGTTATTATTATTCACAACCCCAAAATGCATCAAATGCATCCAGACCCGTCGAGCTGACAGTACCGCATTTGGAGCACGGAAAAAAAAAAAAGAGAAAAAAAAAAAATCTCAAGTAGGAAAACAGTGGGTTGGAAACGGGAAGGCTGAATGAGCCCCACCTGAAATAACTCCAAAAAAAGGCATTTCTGGCTTTGGCATGTCAGCCAAAAGGATCCTATATGTTTTTGTATATGGTTCCCAGAGGATTTAAAACTGTAAGATTTGATGCTAAACCTATTTCTGTGCTGTGAAACCAGGGACAGCTGTACAAATATTTGCTGTTTTTAATTAAACCTAACATTGCTACTTCCTTCATTTAAGTTAGGTCAAAGGACTGGCAATTTTATGCTTTGATAGATGAAGAAAAACAGTTGTGGGTGTTGTGTTTTAGAAATATGTTATAAAATAAGAAGTCTGAGGGAAAAGGCCTCAGAGGCTATAATAGCTCTACTGTTGTGCTTTCTTCTCAGAGATGTTTTCCTTGTCAAATATTTTGCCTTATCCATATAGCAACTGTTTCTACTGTAATTCTGCTCATTATTTTTCCTTGAAAGACTTTTAGATAAACTTTCCATTTGCTCCCTAGTTAAACTTTAGGTTGCATTCTCTCAGCTCGGTGTTCTTTGTAACTGTAGATAAATCTGCTTTGCTAGGGGGAAACGAGGAGGGACACACCGAGTCCCACTCTCTTTGGACCGCCCCACATTGCCTCAGCCACTCGGCAGAACATCTCGCAGCAATTCCCTCTGGAGAACTGCTGGTCTTTCTTCTGTTCCAAACTCAGCTGTATCAATCCCATCTCAGGGCTAGAGGTAAACTATCGGCTCGGACACCCGCTTTTTGGTCACAGAGCAAAGGCCAAAGAGCACCAAACTGGGACTAGCAAGGGAAAGTTCTCATTTCAGCTCCACGGCTGGTCTGCTGCTTGTCCTGGGGCAAGTCCCTCAGTCCTCCCCTATGGGAAATGAGGATAACGATGCTGATTCCCAGGGGGACGTGTTTCGCGACCTGCGCAGTAAAAGAGCCGGGTATTAGAGTTCCTCGGGCTTTTAGAGAAGGGCAAAGATGACTTAGCGTTAAGCAGGAATTTCCCCCCAAATTGTCTTTTTGTCAAAAATTCTGGATTCATGAAAGTACACAGTCTGTTGGAGAGTTTTCATAAATTTCTGCTTAAAAATCAGGAAAAAATGTTTAAACATTTAAACATCTAAGCATACATTTTAAAGTTTTATTTTATACTTTTTTAACGCATTCTTTTTCTGTCTGCTTTTAGCCCAGCGTATAGACAAAAGACACCAGGGAGGAGTAGGCTAAGTGTTTTGCTTGTGTTGATCCATATTTTGTGGTTTGGGTTGTTCTAGATTTTCATTTACCAACAGTTTTGAGATTTCAACATTTCATCCTCAGTGAAAAATCTCGGATTTTCTGGGGGAAAAAAAAAAAAAAAGGGCTGTTTTGTCCCCTTTGGTACATATAATGGAAAGAATGGAGTGATTGTCACCTAGTTTGTTATTTCTGCTTTAAAAATCACACGTCTCACTGTGCTAAATGAAACTAGTATTATAGGATTTAAAGATCCTCAGTATGTTCCCAGTGAAGTTCCAGGCCCTCAAACCAACCTGCAGATGAGGTAAGAGAGTTGAGAAGTGGGTACAGGAATGCAGAGAAGAACACACAGATTTGCAGTTTATCCCCTTGCTCACTTTCTGAGTGCTACAAGTACGGTCATCTTAGGCGGTCTGAAGTCTTGGGGTGGGTTAACATTTTATAAAACTTCTTTTATACAACGATATAAAAACCTCCAAACACTCTAACGAACCCTTATCAGGAATTTTCGTAGAGAAATATTATCCATGGACAATTGCAAAAACAAGAAGTGGAAGTCTGTCTTCATTTCCAACGTTGCCTCCCTATCTGCTCATTGTTTATCTGTGTACCATGTGGAGCCCTGAAGATATTGAGCCACTGGTCAAGTAGAGAGTAAACCAAGAGGAGATATATCACGATGCAATGATAAAGAAATCATATGCTGTGACACCTGCCTTCGTTACTGCTAGTACCCCTCACCTCCTAACTAAAAGCATGGCAGAATTAGTCTGTTAATTGTTTCTAACAGGGTTCCAGTGTGCATCCATAAGTCCAGAGGTTCTCCTCCTGACGCTGTCCCATCTGCTTTGCCAGGTATGTCTGAAGGGGCAGAAATGGATGTAGGAGCTTTCGCCCCACACCTCAGGACATAGAAAGAAAAGCCAAGTTTGCCCCTGCTGTGCCTCCGCTATAATTGAATGTGTTTTTACAGTCAATGAGTTTTTCTCAATGAGTTAACCATCCTTTCAGAAAAAAATAAGATGAATAGCTGCTTATTTTAATCTGGCAGTACTTTGAGCAAATACAGCATTTTTTCTGTATAGTGTAGCTCAAGGCTAAAAACCCAAAGAGCAAGAAAACTCCTCTTCCCTCCCCCTCCCCTCCCAAAATGAAAGTCAAGGTTTTGTGGGATTCAGCACAATCCGCGGGATTTATGTTGCACCTGTTGAATTCTCACAAGAAAAATCAATTCAGATGTTGTGACTTTGGAAGGAGCGTAGGAAATCTGCGGGGAGACTCGGGCTCCGTGGCTTTTCTGCACCTGCAGGGGTTTGGGGTGCCGGCTCGGTGCCTCTCGGGTAAGGAGGGGCTGCCGGGCCGGCGCCAAAAAACTCTTGTTTGAGTTGGCACCCGCTGACGGTACCGGGGCGACGAGGCTTTGCGGGACGGAGTGCTGGAGCGTTCGGTGGGGCAGGTTCGAGATGCTCTCCCCTGCCCTCGAGTTTCTGGGCTGCAAGGCGGGGAAGGAGAGGAGGCTGGCCTCTCGCAGCGGTTAGTTAGCTCCCACGCCCAATCACACCCCATCCTCTTCTTTTAAAAAGCTCGAGTGGCCGTGAGCCCGTGGGCCTTTGTCCCCAGCTGGTGGTGGTGGGATTTCCCAGGAACGGGTGGGTCCTGCACTGCCGCTGGTCGCTGCGGCTGCAGTGCTGGTGGGACGGCCCCGCTGCAGCAGGACCTCAGGGAGCACCCGGGCCCGGGAGAGACCATGCGTCCAGGAAACGTGCTCCCTGTGCTCCCAGAACCTGTTGGTCTAATTTAAACTTGATTAGGTTGCCCTAATTACTTTTCTTTCTTTTCTTTTTTTTTTTTTTTTTTTTTTTTATGGGTAACAAGCAGAGGCTTTCAGGAGCATAGTTTTGAGCACAGGCATGGGATTTCTGCCATTTAATTGGCCATTGCTTTGGCTGGATGTCGAACCTAAGGACAGCTCTACTGGTTTGATCAGAGCACCTCAAGCTCATATCCTGATTCCAGAAGTAGCAAGGGATACTCCCAGTGTTTTCCCTGAACGGGGCTCATCCCCCGCGTGTTGGGTGTACTCACCTTGCAGCTCTCCCCAAAACCAGAAGCTCGTCTGTCTGAACTGTGGCAGTGTGGGGCCACATTCACGGTCTCCCCCGGGGGAAAAGGAAAGCAGTGCCCTCGGTGCGGTGCCTGTTGGTGAGTGGGAATAAGCAAGCAAGCTGCAAAGTGTTTCCACAGCCTCTGACCATTCTCAACTAGAGGCATATCTTTGGTGCCTGTGATGGTTTTTTGTTCGGTGACCCATCGTGGGTCTCCAAGCGCTTTTCCACTCTCCCTTTAAACCCATGCAGCCGCAGTGTCTTTTGGCAACAAAGTCCATGCCTACCTGCTCCTTGAAGAATCACATCCTTATGTTTGTTTTCACCCTTGCTCTCTTATAGCCCATCAACCTTGTACCGAAAGGGACAAGTGAGCAGTCAATCCTTCTCCGTGGCAGATGGCATTTTGCAGACCTCTGTGCTATTTCCCCGCCTGGTCCTTTCCAGCCTCTTCCCATTCTCCTGCTACAGAGGACAGGCTGGGATTGTCCCTCGTCCTGAAAGCGTAGAGGCAGCCCGGTTCACCTGCAAAATGATGAACCCCTGAACCGGCATGGGTGGCTTAGCACTGGCCCGGGGGCGACGACCCACGCGGGCCGGTTCTGCTGGCTCAGCTCAGAGCTCAGGACCCTGCAGCCGGGGGCCGGGCACAGCAGCTGGGTGCTGCAGCCCCTTCCACCAGCGTGGCTCTTCCTGCGGCGAGCACTTCACCAAACTCAGGTGTCCGTTCCTAGGATACAGATACAAAAATATTTCCGCTCTCGTACGCGTCATCCTGGGGAGAAGTTTTGCCCTCAGAACCGACCTTTTTATGTAACACCGACTAAATACACGTCGACACCTAAGTGGAGATACTCTGCTAGAGACAAACGTGCTTATAAGCATTTGGAAGTGTAA